AGAAGGATATGGACCTGTTGGAGCGGGTCCAGAGGAGGGCCGCAAAATGACCTGCAGGCTGGAGCACCTCTCCTGTGAGGACAGGCTGAGAGAGTTGGGGTTGTTCAGCCTGGAGAAGAGAAGGCTATGGGGAGACTTTATTGCGGCCTTTCAGTACTGAAAGGGGGCCTATAGGAAGGATGGGGAGAATCTTTTTAACAAGGCCTGTTGTGACAGGACAAGGAGTAACGGTTTTAAACTAAAGGAGGGTAGATTTAGACTGGATATAAGGCAGAAATTTTTTTACAATGAGGGTGGTGAAGCACTGGAGCAGGTTTCCCAGAGAGGTAGTGGAGGCCCCATGCCTGGCAACATTCAAGGTCAGGTTGGACGGGGCTCTGCGCAACCTGCTCTAGTTAAAGATGTCCCTGCTCACTGCAAGGGGGTTGGGCTAGATGACTTCTAAAGGTCCCTTCCAACTGAAAGCATTCTATCATTCTAAGAGATGAGGGTTTTTTGGTCTCCTAATCTTAGACCATATTCCCCAGGAGTAAGAATTACTCATTCTCCTCCGCAGCAAATATGCTGCTTTTATATATGTACTTAACTGTAATCTTCTTTATTCTTTGAACAGACTAGTGGTAGAGTAGCTGCTTTCAATGTAATTAAAGGCAACATTTTCTTTTATCTGCATTGTTGGACCAAGTCAAAACTCTGCTCCAGGTCCTTCCATCTGTGTGAGATGGTCTTCTGCAACTGCAGCCCTGATGTCTCGGGTATTTGTGCCTCCTGTTATGATGGAAAATTAGAGCTGGAAAATTACAGAATTGTGTGATGGATGCCAAAGAGCTGATCAGAAAGTCCTGTGAAATTCAGTGCTAATGTCTCCTGATGTCTCTTTGGGGGTGGGGATTGTGCTGCATCTTGGAAAATTGCTGGTAGTAGAGCATAGTGTCTATGTTCTGACTTATGTGATGTTACCGTATAGGTCCTCGTCCTGCTCTTCAGCTGAACATTAGGCATCTAGTTCATGGAGAGTTTGTCTCCTGAAATGCCTTAGCCGTATTTACTGGTTTAATCTTCTGAGGGTTTTTAATGCTGAATTGCATATAGTAAGAACTTCTTCCCTGCATGAAACCAGCCCATTAACATACAGATGTAGTCTGAGCACAGGTACAAAACTGTACCCTCTCATAGTGGTCATGCTGCCACTGGTTCAAGTTGTGGATTTTATACATTAGGCAGTGGCAATTCAGTTGTTTTCACTACAAACACAACGTCTGCCAGCATCCTTAAGCTCTCAGCCTACAGGACAACCGTCTGCTCTGGTATGATCTTCTCGGAAGCTGCCATGACTCTGGCAAGCGTCCAGAGCTCAGGCTCCAGCAGCTTCTGATGCAGAAGTGGCTTGGGCTTACATTGCACGTTGCAAAATCAGGGAGCCTCATGTCCTGATGCATTAATCCTACCTTCATGCAAATAAACTATCTGGATAAATAAACTATTCACTGAACAGGCTGAGTTCCTGTTGCCCTAAATCTCTTTGCTGCGCAGGTGTCTGTAGACTCCCTCAAGCCACCATCAACAATTACCTTAATTTAAATGCAACTTATATAACAAACTTGTTTGTGTTGCTTTCTATTTGCCTTCAGTACAGGTTCAGTTTTGCCTTCAGAATATTTTTCACCGTTGTTTTCTAAGTAGGTGGTCATATTTGACTTCTGAAGCTTTTAAATATCAGAAAGTTGAGAAGCAACCAGGAGCATTTTTTGCCCTTGCTGGCAAATGGAGGGGATGACTTGAGCTGGTGATGAACAGCTTGGCTGGAAGTTGAATTGCCTGAATTCCTGTACAAAAATCATTCTTCTGACTTAAAGGGAAGTCTTTAATGTGGAGTTCACACCAAATGTGGACATTAGTCTTACCGTACAGATCACAGGGGAAACAGGACAAGTGGATCAGCTGAAGCCTTTGTGTCCTCCCATGCAGACAGAAGAGTTATTCTACCATATCGAAGATGTTGGCTCACTCTTGTCCATGTTCAGCCTGGTTTGGATGCTCTTGCTCTAACTCATAGGAGCTGATGTGAAACACAAAAGGATTTTTTTGTGTTGGTTTCTACGGGGCTCCTTTATAGGCAAACTTGTAGATGATGAGTTTATCTCTTTTCTGAAATGCAAGAAAATAAACAACATCCAAACAAAAATTGAGGCCGGTATTAACTTCCACTTCAAAGATATCTGGGCAGTAAGTGAATCCACATTACTGCCTATCCCAAGTGCACAGTTTTATTAAAAATGTAATTACTCAAGTTTCTTAATCCTCTCCGTGATAACTTTATATTTTTAGAAGCTTTGTAATCTTGCATGTTAATGCCTTTATGGATCATAGGCATTAAGTTTTGTGTGTAAAGTGCAGATGAGTAACAGTTGAGAAATGTAATGTTTTAGGTGCATTGCAGTCTTATCCATTTTATTTATTCTGTGTATAAAAATAGAATATTCTTGAGTGCTTTGGGATGTTTGACTGACGTGTGCTGCTGAAGGGGGAGGCTTCTTCCTGTGTTTTTACCAGATATCTGGCTGCACTGTAGCACTTGCTGCAAGCAAGATTGCAGGTTTATACAACTGTGGTCTGACTTAAAACACAGATATATGACTTGACATTTTTAAAAAATACAGGCTAGTGACCAACAAAAATACTGTGGGCAACCACAGTCCACAAACTGAACTTGGGACTTGATCTTTTGCAGCTTTGACTTTCTTCCTGCTAATGTCCAGGGTCATTCTTCAAGGACTAGGAGTTTTGCTGAGCAATTCTTGAATTTCGCTGCCACGAATGAGCTTTGTATTTAAATTAGGAAGTTATTTCTCCTCCAGAGCACATATTGCAAGTCTTACTGCTTTTTGTTCTCTACTTATTTAAATGATGTCTAATGGTGAAGTCTGTTGTTAAACTTTCAGTCTAGGGTGTTTTATCTTGAAACTTGAAACATTGTGTACAGTCACAAATCTTCAAGTATAGGATAGAACTTTTTTCAGTCAGACTGATTATAACCACATTTTTTTTCTGTTTTAGGAACCAATAAAATCACGTGCACCACAGCTTCATTTAGAATACAGGTTTTATAAACAGCTTGGAAGTGCAGGTAAGTAAACCTACCTTAAGCTTATAGAAAGTTTGTGATTTCTTTATTAAATCAAACATCACCATCATATTTGTTGTGTAACTCTGACTTGAACTTACTGATCTGGGCAAATTCTTTTAGCTTCACATGACTTTTGGAAGAGACTTAGTCAGAATAACATCATAATGATACTGGGTAATTATGCAGACCTAGAAACTCCAGTTAGTGAGGATTGATTGATATGGGAAATACCCATATTTGTAAAACATAGGAACCTTTGATGGAGGGGAAGTTATTTATGTATAGAATGACAGATTTCAAGAAGGTGACATAAAATCTTAAAATCTAGGAAATTGTGTAAGAAGCATAGAGCTTTTCTAACAACAATCTGAAATACTGTTTTCATTGATATTTACTAAATCATAAGTGTCCAAAAGCCCATGAGCTCAGTATACCCTGTGTGACAGTAGTCTATAGCAAATATGAAAAGAATATCATAGGATGAGACAAAGGTGGTGGTTTTTTTTTTTTTCTAGCAAGCTCTCTGATTTCACTAATATAGGGCTTGAGCTTGTGTCTAATAGTGTTTGGATTCTTCTTCCCTGAATTTGCTTTTTAAACCTCTGTAGATGTTTAGTATGTGCTGTTTCCCATGCCAAGGATTTCCACAGCCTTGACTACCCACTGCACAAGGAAGTCTCTCTGAAGCAAGGACCTTCTCTGCTTCCTCTGTGCCATGATCATATATTAACATTGGGTTTTAGCAAGTTTCCTGCATTACTGTCATTTTTTTTACACTTTCTTCTGATTTTATTTTTCCTGATTTCCCTGGATGGACCTAGCTTCCACTTGCAGAGGATGTGCTCTCACATTACCAAAATACTAAGTTGAACAGAATGAAAGATTTATCTGCTCTGGGCTCATAATATGCAGTGCCTGAGCAGTCATCTTGCATTTTTATCTCTGCTTGTTCCAATTAATTTTTCTAATTGGTTTCCTTACTTTTGTGTAGCACATCCTCTGGAGATTGGTTGCTATCGCACTCTACGTTTTGTGGCTTCTTTGTTCCTTACAGGATGCAAAATCTGGAATGTGGGAATCAAGTAATTTGTCGCTATTGGAAACAATATATTGTTGTTGGGTTTTTTTGTCTATTGAAATAAGGTGCTCTTTTCTATGTATTTTGTATTCTGGTGGTAGCACCTGGTACTGTGCTCCTGATAGGTTAATGTTGTCACTTAATTCCAGTTACCTGCGCTTTTGAGACTTACAGCATTTCTGCTGAAGCCTGTGTAGTAAATAAATCAAACGTAGAATCACAGAATAAGTGATACACTTAATTCTGCTCTTCACTCCCTACTTGAGTTCTGTTGATGCTTGCCACCTCTGTGATACCCTGGCACATGTGTCTGATGACACATGAATGAATCCCAATCTGCTTTTTCTACACCTGTCAGCTTTCTACCACTCTTTAAAGATGTTATTGAGGAATTTTAAAACTGATCAAATGTTGGGGGCTTGCCTTTATTTTGGTTAGATTAAGTATTTTTAATGGGTTTTCTCTTGTTCCTAATGAATCTAAACTTTTTGTCCTACAACACTTACTCACCCACGCAGGTCATTTCTGCCCTATCTGACGCTGTGCACACTAATGGAAGTATTTCTGAGTATGCTGCCATCAGACATGGAGATCTTGCCTTCAAGATCTCCCTTTCCTTCATTCAAGGGGGGGCTGACTGTCATCTCAAGCGTTGTTGCCAGTATTTGTCAAGAGACTGTTGAGAAGTCTCATGAACAACATGACTTTTATTTCTATCACTGTGTGGTCCCATGGGCATCACAACCCCAGCTCTGATAATCTGTTGAATGCTATTAGAAGCTCTTGTGCTACAGTTTTGCTAAAACAACTGCATACAGGCCAGGAGCTTGGGTGGAGGATGTGAGCCCCATCTCTGGTCTCTCCATGAAACTTGGAAGCTGAACAAAATAAATTTTGGTGAAGTCAGACTGCCAGGACCAGGCAGCCTTAACTAGGTGTCTGCATGCCACACTGAGAATTAGGGGAAGACTGTCTGTAAAAACAGATTGGTGCTAAATATTTGCCAACTTTGGGGAAATAGATAGGTCTGTTCTCAGTGATGTTGTTAATGCCAGGCTCCCCTTAATGGTCCTTGCTTAAAAACTTTTAACTGCTCAAACAGACAGCCTTGAACTTCCAGTAAGCAGGACTTGTTACTTGAAATTATTGTAGAGTTGCCAAATGAAGTGTCCAAACCCATGGTGTGCATGACTCAGATGACAACAGCAGTAGTGTTACTTGTGACATACTGTTCGATAAATTAGCCAGTTAATCTTGCCAAATAACGTGGCTGACTGCAAACCTCCCACCGTTAGCCTGAAGAGTAAGACTAGTAAAAGCATTGCTGTTACGCTGCAGTAGCAGCATGGTCCTCTTGTTAGTGCAAATGCTGTGTTCAACTGCATGTACAACCAGATGGTCTCAGTGAGCAGAGTCTCTATGAGAAGTCAAAACTCTCATCATCTGCAGCATTTGGAGAAAAATGGTTGGATGGAGTTTTTTTCCTAATGAGAAGAATTGTAATGGTGACTTCCTTTTTCCTGGATGTTCAGAATAAACATTTTTCAAGTATATTACTCCTGGATACTAATGATAGGAAAACTTAGGTTGGAAGGGACCAACCTACTTGGCCATCGATCAAGTAGGAACCTTCTTGCAGGATAGCTTTTTGTGTGTCGAAAAAGATATTTCATCTCTGGTATGTGACTGGATCTGTCCACATGAAGTTGGGACTAAGCTGGAGGGAAGTGTTTTGTGGCAGTCGGCTTTCAAAGAGAATTGGTCTTGGATGCTCAAGACTGCAGATAACTTGGTCATGACTTGCTTGCAACATGCCAGATCGAGAAGCGCAACCTCTAAACTCAGGAGCTTAAAGGTTTTGTGCATCAAAACCCCTGCAGAAGCCCAACCAGTGGTGTTAAGGAGGCATGAAGCGCTCGATCGCACTGGTAGGACAAGTGCTACTTTTGGAGAGAAATTTGCAGCTAGCTCCGTAATGCTGACTTTGGAGTCTGGTCCTGCAGTGTATTGCACAGGACACTTTTGGGGGGCTTTTGCCCCAAAATTTTAGAACAATTGTGCAGTTCAATGCCCGAAGGATGTATATCAGTATTGGTTACCTGCTTCACTTGTTGCCATCATCAAAAACTGGTGAAATTAGTCGCCTTTTTTTTTTTAAAGCTATTCAGTCTAATTTTGCATTTTCCTTGGTGTAGTTAAACAAGAGTAGCAAATAGCCCAATAATTCAGGACTCTGTCAGAAGTTAATTCCTGGGATGGGCTTCCATGTGAGATGTTTCCACGTGCACGGAGGAAGCAGCACAGTTGTGTGATAGCTGCCTCTTCCTTTTCCAGCTACTCTGTGGCTTCCTGTGCCACATGCTCCATCAGCATCGATGTTTAAAGACTTTCTGACAAGGCACTGAAGTTGCATTTGTTACCTCCCATCAGCACCAGCTTCTTTGCCTGCCACGTGACACAGATGAAGATCACTAGTCAGCTTGGATTAGCTGAGGAGAAGACTGGATTTCTTGTCTCATACATCTTAAGACATATTTCACGCTAGATTAAGATATACTGGAGCAGTGAAAAGTTTGATAAAGGGATCTAAACTGTATGAATGTAGCTCTTTTTGGTGCTTCTCAGAATAGCTCAATACCAGTGGATATATCAAATGGATTCAGAAGTAGCTAACAGAGATAGTCCTGGGTCAGAAGTAACCAACCAACAGGTGTCTCTGATTTGCTTCTGCAGGTAACTGATGCTATCTCTGATGTTTCAATGCCTCCCTGTAGTAAGAGAAACTAATAGCTCCCCTATAATTTCCTACCTTTCCCCTCTAAATGGAGGATGTTTGCTTATAGAAATGGGTTTTCATGATTTTTCCTTGAACTTTTCTACTCCCCTCAAAAGAAGAGGCAAGGACCTGCTGCACAGTGACTATCTGCTGGTTTCTTTTGTTTCACTGTGGAATTAACTATTTAATAATCTAAAATAGTATATGAATGCTTTACCTTAATGTAGGCAGTGAAACAAAAAAAAAAAAGCAAGCCACAGGCACAGAGTCAAAGACCTGATGGTCAGTCCGTAGGGCGTCTCAGGAAAGCACAAGAGCTCCTTTAGGTTTTAGGTAGTCTGGGATACAATCTGCTTGCTGACCAGGATAATTGGAGTAGTTTTAACAGTCTCTGTGCAAACTAGTTGTGTTACTCTGTCATCGATCCTGTAAGATGCCGGTGTCGTACTGAACTGTTTCATGGTGGTTCTTTGTTGTAAAATCCATGTGAGCATGCACGAACATCCTGACATAGAAGATTGATCCTGGCCTGGGCTATCCCTAGGATGTTGCTTTACTGGTGGTGGCACAGTCAGTCCTGAATTTTTTTCTTGCTGGGTAGTACCTATCTGTGTATGAACATAAATAGCACAGCTACCTACAAAAACTCCAAGTGTGGGTATTCCCCAAATATAGTCTCTTGCTTTATGACTCTCTCTGAGGACTGGCTGTTCGAGGTATTCCCCTCCTCCTCAAGACTGGTACGTCAGCTGCTAGGCTTCCCCTTGCTCTGAGGCTTCATACAGCTACTTTAATCTGCTGCTTCCATATCTCGGAGACAAGAAGAGCTCCCCCTTCAACTTGACTGGATGCTTTTACATCTCCTAGGGCTGCCAAAAAGCAATTCCAGCATGTTTCCAGTGTTGGATCAGTCACTTGAGCATGTCATTTGTCTCCTGTACTTGAAGTTTGTGGAGTAAAGGCTTGGTTTCTTACCATTCATAAAAAATCTTGAATAATCGGGCCCTACAGCTTGCAGGATTGACTAGTGGAGGAGCTCCATCCCCACCGCTGGCTGATGTTTGAGTGTCTGGTTCCCCATAAGTATTGGGGTGGGGAAGCTGGTGTTGGCAGAGTAAAACTGAGTTACTTTGACCGTGGTCAAAC